TTGCATTAAGAACTACACATTAGTGCATTGCGTCAGGTTCTAGCCAAGATCTTAAGAACCTGCCTGTGTTCTAGGCATTCTGCCCATATCTATATCTTAGGTAGGAGACATTTTCTGGATTAGGGAACTGATTTAAAGCGACAGCATTTGTTTTTCTCCTTTGCGAAAAAGTTTTCCTTCATTCTTTTTCTTCTCAGACTAGATGAGGCACCTCGTTCTCCCGCCTCCTCCTGTAGAGGGCACTTTTTTTTACAGGCTTTTTAAAACAGTTAAGCACTAAGCAGAGTCATCCACTGTGACTTTGGCAGCAACTAGCTCAGCCTTTTTCCTTTTAGATTTTATTTTCCTTTTCACGATGACAGTGGTGAGGCTCTGCCTCCCCTGCCTGCACATCCCTGCTGGTTTCCTTAAATGATAACTCTATCTGAAATTTAAAGTAATCCTTTTAATTAGACAATGAGTGAGCCTTTGGGATGGGTAGCAACCTAATAGGCAAATGGGCTCTGGGGCACTGACAAGGCAGCCAAGCAGTCAGCTAGAGAGACCGGGGAGAAGCAGATCTTAGTACATTGTATTTGCAGGGCTCTTTTGCATTCAGATAAAGGTAAACCTGCAGAATGAGGTGTCTATGACAGGTCTTGCTGACTGAAGCTAGATTGTCAGTTTGGCTTGGGAGATACCAGAATGACTGTTGTGTAAAAAAAGGGGGCAGGAGAGGAACAAGATGAGGCACTGGCAGAGAAATGTTACCTCCTCCTTCCCTTTGCAAATGGGTCGGTCTGTTCCACCTTTCTTCAGGCTTGGAATAGACCCACCACAGTTATTCATTGGGGGGCTGGTTTCTTTAGCTTGGGGGCTTGAACAATGGCTCAGCTTTCAGAAGGGAAGCACACGCCTCTGAAAGGGATGGGTTTTTCTGAGAATCCTCACAGCAAGAAGAGAATTCTTTTTTTTTCTTCTGAAACCATGTTCCAGAAGTGGAAACAAGTCAGGGCAGACTATCCCATACCAAGTATGTGTCGAACTATTTCTGAATCTGACCTTGGATGTGGACCAAGAGATCACTTATGAACATATATGAACATTTATGGGGGAAGGGGGGGAATAATTATGCCAGCATAATTTATGATCATTAGTGACAGATTTATTATTGGTGCTGGCATCTTGGTTTTAGTGAAAACTGAAAATTGACCCTAGTAGAAGCCTCTTCTTTTGCTTCTTCAGTGCAAGAAAAGAGGAACACCTTTTCTTCTAAGAAACTAAGCTATATATGCTTAAGCATTGAGATGACAAAATCAGATGGCATCTGGCAAAATTCCATTTTTGAATGCTGAGTGATATAGAGTCACCCAAGCGCAATTAAAAAAAAAATTGGGTTTCTGCCTGGATGGTCTCTTGTGACGAGCCGAAGGACAGAGAATGGAAGCAGTGAACTTCCTCCCATATTTGGGCATACCGGGGGTTGTAAAAATCTAATAGATACCTTTCACCCTGGCTTCGCTGATAACGGATAAGAGCCTGTGGCCTAATGGCTAAGATGTCTGCCTAGTATGTAATATAGCCCATGTTCAAATCCCAGTAAGGGTATGGCTAGCTGATGAGAGCTAAATAGCTTGAAATAGATCTATACTAGTCTCCCTTTACTTATTTATCAGCACAAATACAACAAAATGTAACAAAAAGGCAACAGTAAAAAAAATATTGGGTTTCTGCCTGGATGGTCTCTTGTGACGAGCCGAAGGACAGAGAATGGAAGTAGTGATCTTCCTCCCATATTTGGGCATACTGGGGTTTGTAAAAATCACACACACACATATATATATATATATATATATATATATATATATATATATATATATATATATATATATATATATATATATATATATATATATATATAAAATGTGTTTCCAATTCACTCCTTGTTATGCTAATAAATATTTCAATTTGTCATAAAAACAAGCTTTCCAAAATATGAATATCACTGATTTGCATTCTGAAGGGATTTGATTCATTATATCAACACAGGTCTCTTATTGCCCCATTGCTGTCTCAT